TTTTTTTCCCAAATTCAAGGGAGCATAACAATATGTACTGTGCGAAATGTATATCAATGCAATCGTTATGGGTTTACAAGGGAAATTTTCGCGATATCACTGTGCATGAAGGTAAACAAACAATCATTTCTCGTGAGCTCAAGAGATCGAACACTGGAGGTTTTTTAAGTCTCTTGCAAAAATTTATGCACTGTTACGCTGATTTTTTTATGTCCAGCAATTGTAGCAAGCAGTTTTTACTTAAGGAACACAGGTTGCCCTGAATCGCATGAAAATCAAAGACCACAGTGACATCCATGTTGAAACTGATATAATGAAAAATATATTAAGTTTGGAAATTGAATAATGTTTACCCGCAGAAAATAATCTATTTCTTACACAGACTTAAATATTTCGAAACAAGATTTGATGGCCCATAATGATTTATTAAAACCGTTTTTTTGCACAAGATCTCGTGCGTATGCTACATTAAATATTCGTTAGCCTTTGTGTTCATCATTTTTTCAAGGCGTGGCGATTGCATTATCATCCAAAAACTGCAAAATATGATAAAAACTTACTTGGATTTCCAAAAATTTTCTTGGAGAGAGATAATGAAAGCTGACAAGAGATTAAGTCTTGAAAAGAACGAGGACAATAAAAAGGCCACAAAGAAGATGAAAAACTTGGAATAAAAACGAACCAACCTCTAAACATCCGATTTAGATGAAATCATGAAAAACAGGACTTTCCACATAAACATGAATTAACAGAGAGATATTCAATACTCTGGGTTTTAAAGACCCATGGGATGTTGTCTTTTAAAGTAGGTGCTTGTCCCCGGAAGTACTAGGTATCATGTGTTATATATATAAAAAATACCCTGTTGTTTCATGTACATTTTAAAAATTTCTTTGATGAGTAAAACAATAGAAGATCTTGCAATATTTTGTATATTATGGTACTTCAAAGTCAAACACCTTTGTTAAAAAGGCAAGATAAGTCAATCTGTCGGATATGTTCCAAACAAAAAACTGATTCTAGGAATCTTCTCCCTATCAAAAAGGGATCAACAGCTGGGTTACTCGGCAATTTATAAGTTGGTTTTATTATCTTTGGGTATTTATAAAATCCCAAATCGAGGAGGTTTTGCAATATATTTTAAAATACAGATAATGAGCTTACAAAGGAAGCAACAATATTGCCAATCTATGAAATTGAAGGATTTTACAAAACACTGAATTTTCCTCTCTTTGCCTTTAAGACAAATTAAAGAATATGATGTGGTCAACACACTTATGTTTAATACTGACTAGTTGTTTAAAAAGATCTGATCACTCAATTAATTTCGTATAATTAATTAATGTTTTTCACCCTTTGTATTTCAATTTCATTCTGACATATAAATTATTGAGAAAAAAAAAAAAAAAAAAAAAAAAATTTACAGTATTGGGTAGAGATATTTATGGATGTTTTCAAGAACACATGAAATTACCCGATATCGTGTTGTTTCTATTAAAACAGCTGATATAACATGAAGGTGGATGTGTATGGAGATTAATACAACATGTGGTTGTAAATGTCTGTGAAACCAAAAAAAAAAAAAAAAAAAATCATTAACAACACACATTTCAAAGAAATTCGATACATAGAAGTGCGTGTTGTTTCAGTATTAGTGGGGAGTAGCAGAGCAAACATATTTTTTGTGAACACACCCAATAAAATTGAAAATCCTAATAAATGTATTTGAGTACCCTTTTTCGCACACCCTTTAAAAGGTACATTTGTTAGAGGCACGATAGAGTTTCTAAACAGGAAATGGGTAATTTTTGTTTGTTATAGTCTTTGTAATTATTAACTTTGACAATTTATTATTCGTTAAGTCCTTTTTGTGTCCGAGATAATCAGACAAATTTTTGCTGCAAGGTGCCCTCCATTTTGAAAACACCTGAAATTATGGCATCATTGATTATATCATCATTTACTTCATGGTGTATTATAATTTTTTCGATACTTTGCAATATCATAATTTTAAATCAATATGCTTTCCTAAAGTGTTTTGGTATTTTTGGTATCATGCTTGATATTCAGATTATGCCCATTTAGATGTGTGACATATATTGTGAAACACCCTGTATATAATGGACTAACAATAAGTTTGAAAAACGTCAGTCAGTATTTGACTTAATGATAAATTGTATTTGCTAACAAGGTCATTGTATCGACTCTAGAACTTACGAAATGATGATTTTAAACGAGACTGCTGATATGCTTGTTTCATCAACTTGCCTATCAATAATGTACCTTGTTTTAGAAATTGTTCATATGTAGAGCATGCTTTTGCTTTTGTGTATCAAATCAACTGAGATATATACACTCCGTATGCAGGTGATGAAAGTCTATTGCTGCATAAGTAAGGAAAATTGACGATAGAAGGATGATAGATGACGATGGATCTGATACATTTAATCTATTTTGACAAAGTGTCAATCTCTCCATGATACGCCTGCATAGTTCAGTCGGTACAGCACCTGACTAGTGATACAGGGATCCCGGGTTCGATTCCCGGTCCAGCAGTACATTTTCACCTATTCCTGTTACAAATCTGGTACCATTGACCACCCCTGGAATTGCAGGTATTTAGTATATTAACGTTCTGCCAGGGGCTGATATGATTGTGTTGTGTCTTCGAGAGCGGAGACCATTTAAGGAGGGAGGAAAGTAATGGTTTGGGCTGTGAATTTCGGCCTGGATGGTTCGGCAGAGCACCTGAATAGTGATGCAAGGGTCCTAAGTTCGATTCCGGTCCAGCCATACATTTTCTCCTTTCCTGTTACAAACCTAACAAATGAATTAAATAAGGAGGGAGTGTTTATTGAACGTGATCATTCAATTCTGCAAATGACAACTAGGATACTAGAAAAGATTTATTATTATACTTATAGCCTGTTGTTTTCTTTAAAGTGAGAATGGTGTAAAAAAAAAAATTGAAACTTTGAAATTCCATGCATAAAAATCCCTCTCATGATTTTCTAAATGCTAATTGTGACGCCATAGACTTTTGCATTTTCCCGTATTTTTCTTAAAAAGTTGCAGAAGACACCAGGTTTCAATGGAATTTTTTTTTCAATTAATACTGTCCACAGGCATTGCCCATTTTTTGATTTTTCAAAAAAATTTACACAACATATCTAAAAATTGAAGTGGACCACGGCTGTAGACACAAGTTTTTGAAACTTTTACTCTTTAAAATTGAGAAATGCGTCAAATTAATGTTGTCATGTTTTCAACATGGCACTCTTTCATGCTATAGTCTTTTCTTTTATTACAATTATATACTTAAAGGGGATAAGACACAGTTTCAACAGAATTTTTAAAACCAATTTTAATGGTTTTAAACCCTTGCTAAGGCATCATGTAATGATTAGCAAAATTTGAACATCATTTGTTGATTATCAAATGAGATACAGAACGCAAAGTTCATAATGTGGCTCGTGCCTTGTTTTTGTTTTCACATAAAAATATCATATTTTATAATAAAATAAAATTCAGAAAATCGCTAGAAACTGTCAAATCTTATCTAGAATTTACTTTTTTATTGAAAGTATCTACTTTGAACAAATATATTTTAGTATATTAACGTATGTAAACAAAAACATGACCCGGTCCCTGTTTACATAACAAAGGTTTGGAACTCTAAATCTGTCTTGTATATCGAAAATTGACATTCAAATTTTTGATGATCAGTAGAAAGGCCTTCAAGTTAGTTAAATATTTGTAAAAATGGAAAATGATTTTTTTTTGGTTGAAAATGTGTCCATGTCCATTTAACTAATATTTAAACCAGCATTAAATCTTTTTGAAAACATTAATTTTTAGGACACAACAATCCTAAAACCATACCTTCATCTTTGTTACTTTGTCAAGGCTTTCAATATATTGAGAGACAATAAAAGAAAAATATTAAATCGTAAATTTAATGTAAATAAAGTATCCAAGAATGAAATAACTTTGAAAAAACTAAGTCTATCAATTAAATAAATTTTACATTGACAATGCACATATTATTATGTTTTCGAATTAGACATTTATATGCCCTGTATTTGGAAATTTTAAAAAATGATAATATTTTTGTACAATACACCTTTTTGCCTCTATCAATATTCGTAAGATTTGAATCTTTAATGCTTAAATATACTTTATTTTAATATGTACCTGTATTTGATTTTTTAAGCTTAAATAATGATCAAGGTGCACTATGAAGTTTCCCAAGACTTAGAAAAAAAGTCTCCTTAAATTTCTTTTCCTATGGTAGAAGTAATGTTTCCTTGAAATTTGGGTCTATGTTGAATTTTTTTTAACAGGTTAAGAATTCCTTTTTATTTCTGAAACATATTACCTTCAGTCGCACATGGGCTTGTGGCAAAGCACTTATTCAATGAAAGTCCTATAAGTGAAATATTCCTATAAAAAGGATTTGCAGCGATTAAAACAGGATCTTGCGTTTCAAATGTTTAGCCAGTTGCATTTCCATAGTTCTTTAAATTGTTATTTTATAATTTTTTGCCCCCTCATTTTATTTATTCAAAGAATTTTGGAAGCTGTATCCATAATTTCCTTTCGATCTTGTAACCTTCACTTTTAGATTTGAAATTGCTGGACTAATTTTATCACTTAAATCAGGGATCCACTGATGATGATCCCCTGTCTATTTGATAAGTGACTCCGGCATCACCTGCTTCCTTTACATATCATAGTTTGCCAATGAATCTTTTGTTAGTGTTAATTAGCTCAATGTTCTTTTATAAATCAAGGCGTTTGTCTTGTTGTTCACTTTATGCTTTACAATACTTTTCACTGGGATTTATATCATTGATATGAATATTTATACTTGTCTGGTAACTTTGAGATGGATTTCACATTTTACTAAAACATGTCACCTCGATCAGTCCTTTTAGTACTTTGATTTAATAAACAGTTTAACTCTTTTTACCTCTTGCTAAGAAATAAAAAAATCTGTATTTGCTGCTTTAGATTTCTTTAATTGTTTAATCAACAGAAAAAAACATACAAAAACTTTAATCAGTATTCAACGAATTAATAAAAATCAATGTTAGTTGTGAACAACAGTTCCTCAGTTTAACGACATTTGCTGTCAACCTCCCAGCTGTTAACAAATGGATCAACATCTGTCACGGTGCTGCGTGATGATGTCATCATGTCGTCATAGACTTCATTGTTGTTGGTTCCGAAAATTCCTCCTAACTTCCCATGGTACCATCCACTGACAACAAGTTTTAGCTGATCTCTAGGAATGCTGTAGAAAGCGTCGAATCCACGGCCATGCACGCTCAACAGCTCCGCGTCAGCCTCGACACTTAGTTCCCGGGATTGGTAGGGGGCGCTGACTATTTTACCATCAATACGCAGCTACAAAAAAGATCATAAGCTAATATTGAAACTTAAGGTAAATTATTTTATGAAAATGTATATACATAGTTAACATAAAAGAAAATTACTGAAATGATAAAAGAAAGAGAAAAAGGAGCACGTACCTTTCCGTTAGGGGCTATTTGCAGAGTCTGTGTAGCTGTTGTGATGATGAGTTGTTTCTTGTCTTTGCCGAGGTAGTTCATAATGACAGAGAAGTTACCATCAACATAGTCACGTGCTAACACATAGGAACATTTTCCAGAAAAGTCGAACTCCTCACCGTCAAAAGAGGTAATGTGGTTTCTATTAAGGGAGGCAACGGCTGAAAGGAAAAAGCAAGTATTACTTCATCAAATATTCACTATAGAACGATGACATGAATTTCGCAAAAATTTAAGGATATATTTTATCCCAACCTTTGAATGGTGGAATCCAGTTGGAGACATCGGAATTAGGAATATAGTCAGATACGGATCCCCATTTGTTGGAATATTTTGGAATATAGGAGTGGAATCTGTTGACATATTTGGTGACAGATACTTTAGGAAGTTCTTTCAGAGAGGACATGGCAACTGGCAGGTATGTGTCCATCTGTATTTCGCCCGATTTAGGATCGAAAACGGTAATTCTAGAGTTTTGTAAGTTGGAAATGGAATTTTTGAGGATGGCAAATTCCTCCTCAATGTCTTTCTTTATCATATCAAAAACGTTCTTCATCACAGATTTGACATTTTCTTCTACTTCCCAGAATTTGTATGCATCGGAAGCCTGGAATACAGAATGATGTATGTCCATCTTTTCATTTGAAAAATGTAAAATTTAGAATGCATATTTACAAATCGGCGTATAATTACCAGTTTGTAGCTCTGAGCTCCAGATTTCTTAATAGTTTCTAAAACAGGTCCATTCATCCTGGAAGCAATTTGGTCTCTGACATTATAGATAGCATTAGTGTACTGGCTGGCCATGTCTGGAACTCTAATTTCACCCAGTGTCTTTGAATATACATCGTACTTGGATTTTATGTACTCGGATACTTGGTTTCCTGAGATTCTGGACACTGCATCTACAACAACAGAAATGTTGCAAACAATGATGCAATTTAAACCAAACTTTTAAAATTTATGACAAATAGTAGAATCTGACTGCTTTTATTTATCATTAATTTAACTACCTTGATATTTGTTCATAGCCGTCTCAATGGCAGCAGACAAATCGACAAATTGTTGTCCGATGAAGTCCATTATGTTTGCATAATACACACCTCCTTTCGATTCAACAAGCTTAAAAAGGAATAAATGAGTATTCATAGTAAAAATATGTTCTAGATCAACTCAACAAAAGAGCAATGTCTTACAAAAGCCAATTTAGTTACAAGATAACGAACAGTGACGATGTTATGAACTTACTGTCATGAGTTCTTTGATTGCCTCCACGTAAAGATCATACTTGTCTTTACCAGGAAAATCCTCCCATTGGACAGGGTTACTTTGAATCATTTGCCTGCATAGAAAACAACAGTTTAATACATTATAATAAATAAGGAAATATATTCAAAACATAAAGGTCTATATACAGTGTATATATTATATTCCAAGCAAACCTAATGATGTTGAGGTCAATATTTGGGTAAGTTCTCGCAATTTCTGCAATGATTTCCTCCATGAATTCACCATATGGTCGATATCCATCGCTGACTGACTGACGAATCAAATTGTATTTAGAGTTCAGTTCGTTCCCAATGGCCTTTGCTGCTTCAGAGAAAGCAGTGTTTATTCTTCTGCCATTAAGACCAATTTTTCCAAGTCCAAATGCCTAATAAAACATAAAAAAAACATTTCTTATCAAATCATAAAAAAAACTTGAAGAAGGTTTTTAAAATGATCGACAAATGTATATAATTGATATACTTTGATTTCTTGAATCACTAGTGGACACCAGTGGACACGGGTGTGTAAGATTCTGGACGTGTTCAGTCTCATTGCAAGAAGACCCTCAGTCATTCTGCGCGAGTTCTCAATTCGATACACCTCCGTTTGGACAGCGCTGTCATTTACATACTTAGCCACAAAGTGTAAAACATTGGCTGGGTTTTCTGAAAAAATATATAAGAAAATTAAGCTTACATATAGAAAAATATCTAAAACAAACTGCATAAAAATTGAATTTTGATTTAAATTACCGATATCGTAGTTCATTTGGGCAGCTAGAAGTCTATTTTCAGGGTCAAAGGTGATTTGAGAATTAATCTCCTTGGTATTATCGTACACATTGCGCAAACTCAGCTTGAAAGGCTTCGACTCGATTTTTCCAGACATGATCATCGATTTTATGGGAGAGACAACCTGATCAGGAAAAGATTATTCATTTTATAAATAAAACACATGCCTAAAAACATAAATATCTTTTAGCTTTAAAATTCGATGAATGCAAACAAATATAATATGAGATATAAAGTAGATTTGTTGATTAAAATATTGTACCTCTACTTTCATTTGACGACGAAGGCTGTCTATTTCACCCATCAGTGCAAAGTTTTTCTTGATGCGCTTTGCTGTCATGTAGTCAACTTTGATTCCACTAGTGTACATGTCATCTGCCATTCCAACATGTGATTTTAATTGAACATCAACACTGCTGAAAATGTGTCTCAGTCCCAGGCTAAAGGTGTAGTTCTTTTTCAATCCGGTTGAAACATCCTCAATTCGTGAGTTAATAACAACAGTTTTGTCTTCGTCTTTGGAGTATTTGAATTCCGTCTTACCATCGAATAGAATACTTCCTTGATTTAGGGTCATTTCAGAATCCAACTTGACATCCTTGTAAATAACGAAAAATTGTACTCTGATTACTTCAAAACTTATACAAGTAGAATGATAGTTCAAGACTCAATTATTTACTTATCAAACATAAACTTAAATAACTGCAGTTACCTTGCCAATACTTGGAATTTCAAAGGACACATCAGCTTTGAAGGAGTCTCCTTGGGGAATGACGCTAGCACTGATACCAATTTTCTTGGAAGTGTCTCTGTCTGCATCCCACATGACGGAACCATCTACAGACTTTTTACCATATTTATCTTCAAAGGATCCAAAAAGGGCAACACTTCTCTCGGGGAATCTTAACTTCAGTGTGTTTCCATTAGCATAGTTAGAACGCCTTTTGACCAATGAATGTTCAGCGTCAAATCCAAATGTCTGTGTATCATCAATCAGGATATCCCAAGATGTAAGCATTCGGTTAGATGACATTTCTCCGGTTCCCTTTACTTCAACAGACCTGCTAGGTGTCGACATTTTGACTAGAGCTTCCTTTTTCTGAGTGTATGGGTCTACTACATACTTAGTTTCTAATTTTGCCTGCCTTTCCGTCGATGTTGTATCCAAGTTAATGGAAACCAGTGCTGATTTAATGGAATCAGAGAAAACAGTTTCCCCTTCGAATTTCATGGGCTGTGGTTCTCTCATCACGGCGGAAATAGTGTGTTTATTATTCTTCTCATATGCAATGTCCATGTCTAATAATTTTTCACCATTTATCTCAGCAAGCATTGCTTGTTTAAGAGAGTCTGTTGATTTTTCGTTATTTCCTTGAATAGTGAGTGTTCTTAGCTGACTGAAAGGAGTGCTGATGGTAAGTCCTGCTTTACGTGTGGTGATTCTCCACGATTCACTGCTGGAATATGTGGCATCAGATACAATACTTTGGCCGTTCATCCACGAAGCTTCCAGTTTGTTTCTATATTCGTCCCCATTTTTATTGTTCTTAATACTGAATTTGATATTTTCAAGACCACTCATGTCACTGACAAGGGTAAACGAACAATCGGCATCAGAAATAGAATTGAACATGAAGCGAACATCAGATTTTGCATTGCCGGCCGAAGTTTGCAGACCAACACTGGTGCTGAAATCAAAATATGTCCCCTTGTGGGATCCAGCAAGTTTAATCGATTCCAGTCCAGAAAATGGAGTTGCGAGAACGATGTCAATTGTCATAGGTGTTGAGTCCAGATCAAGATTAGATTTTAAAGATATTTCCCGGTCTTGACTTGATAGGACCAAATCTCCGTTGTATTTACCTCCTATATTTGAAGTTTTGGCACTTGCTTGGAGATTTTCTAATCCTGTAAATGGAGATGTAAATGATAATTCTGCTTCCATAGGCTCAATGGATCCTTTAGCTGAAGCGCGGATATTTTGGTCATTTCCGTATGCAACATCAACAAATGATCTGACGCTGTTTCTATTTGCCGTGTGTTTCAAGCTCAGTTTTGTTCTTTCAAATCCACTGAAAGGTGTTTTGATAACCAAATTAGAATTGACACGACGCCAGCTCTGTCTAAAGAATGTCAAGGTTCCTTCTAATTTTCCTGTCTTCTCATGCTGGAAATCACCGGAGGTAGTAAACTGATCCAAGTCACCACTGTGGGAAAACTTGGTGTTTATGTCGCGAAGGAATGGCACTGGTGATTTTACTGTCAGGGAGCCTTCGATGGTGTCTGTATTTTTGAACTGCACGGATACAGTTGCTTCTTCGTTTCCATACCTTGTCGTGACGTCAGTCTTGAAGCTACGAAGTGAGCCCTCGTGATGTACCTTAGTCATTGTTGTGGAGCTAACACCATCAATGGTGTAGGTAGTTGTAGACGTGAAGTCAATCAAAGGATTAGCATTGTACCGCAGAGAATTAGTATGGGTTAAACTGTACCGGTCACCAATGGTAAATTCGCTCTGGGATTGAACTGAACCACTATCGGAGGACTGTGTATGCATAGCAGAAATATCAGCGAAAGGGCTCTGGATTTTCAGCATGTGTTCGGATGATGATTCTCTTACAATGTTACGTAGGGAGATTGATGCTGTTTGAGAAGATCCAAAGATTAAAGTGCCAGATACTTCTAGATTCTTCAAAGGTCCATCTTTGTTGAATGTCAATGATGTTGACTCGAAACCAGAGAAGGGTGTCTTGAGAGACATGGAAGCCAAAACTGCGTCTGAAGTATCCAGAGAACTATCAAACTCGAGTTTGTCTTTATTGTTTCCCCCTTCCACATGGATATGATATCCATATGAGGACCAAGAACTTGATGCTTGGGCGCTAACGATTTTAAGACCACTGAAGGGTGTTTGCATCTTTAAGTTCATATTCAGTCCTGAACTTTGAATGGAAGCAGAAAGATCAGCCTCTAATTTTTGCCTAAGAAATGAACCTTCCAGATGGGATATGATGTCTCGAGTTGTCATCTGGTATGTGAATTGCACGTTTTGCTTCTCGTATCCTTCGAAAGGTGTTTTTACAATAAGACTGGCCGAGATTTGTGGCTGAAGTTCAATATTGAGATCAGCTTCAAGTTTCTCTCTTTTAAAGTTGCCTTCTGCGCGTCCAGTTAAACCTCTGGATGATCGCTCAACCTCAAGAAGGAAGTCCTGCTCTTCAAAGCCATTGAAAGGTGTTCTAAGAGATACTTTAAATCCATTTTTCCTTCCCTTGATAATATTGAGATCAAACTCTGATTTCTGTTGATTAAAGAGGATCTCGGCATGTGTCTGGCAACTCTCACTGGTCATTTCGTGAGAAAAGAAAGCTTCCTGTTGAAGATATCCCTGGAATGGCGTCCTAATTACAATTTGTCCCTCCACTTTTTTACCTCTTTTGAAAGTGATGTCCATTTCCACAGTTTTCTCCATAAAAGTTCCCTCCAGTTGCATTTTGGAACCCTTCTTTGAGAACTTGATGTTTTGTCTCTCGAATGAAGTGAAAGGTGTTTTAATGGAGAGACTTCCTTGGTCGGCAGAAAGTTCTCCATCAATTTCAATAGTCTTTTGTCTGAAAGTGGCCTCTGCATGGGCTTTCTGGTCATCAATGGTAAACAGTACATTCTGATTCTCGTAAGAAGCAAAAGGTGTTTTAACTGAAAGACTACCTTTTGTGGCTGAAATTTCTCCATCGATTCCAATGGTCTTTTGTCTAAAAGTGGCCTCTACATGAACTTTTCTGTCATCAATAGTAAACAGTACATTCTGGTTCTCGTAAGAAATAAAAGGTGTTTTGATCGACAGACTGCCTTTGTTGGCAGACAAATATGAATCAATTTCAATGGTCTTTTGTCTAAAGGTGCCATCTACATGAAATTTTTTGCCATTAGTTGTAAAGCTTATACTTTGACTCTCAAAACCGGGGAAAGTTGACGCAACGGAGAGGAATCCCTGACTAGGTGATAGTTCACCATTAACTTCAACTGATTTCTGTCTGAATAATAATATACCGTGTATTTTGTTACTTTCGCCTCTGAATGTGATTTTCTGTTTTTCAAAGCCTGAATATGGCGTGGTGATTTGGAGATCTCCATCAACGATTGTATCGATATTTATATTACCAGTAACTTCGATTTTCTTCTTCTGATATGTAGCTTCCGCTTGCGATTGATAACCCATCAGAGTCTTTTCAAAATTGAAGGACAATTTTTGGTCTTCAAATCCCGAGAAAGGAGTTAAAACCTTAAGAGAGCCTGTGAAACTTGGTCTTTTGTTGAAACTGGCTTCGACTAATATTTCTTCTTTTTCAATTCCTGCTTTAGCTACGGTCGAAAAACCACTGTCTTTGACTTCATGGTTGAAAGAGGCTGAGAGTTTTCTCATTCCCTGTATAGGGGTATTAATCGAAGTACTTGCACTTATTGAACTCCTGTGGTTAAAGGAAGTGTCAGCTTGAACTGTTTTTCCTCCAATTGTTCCTTCAATGTGGTTTTTGAAGCCAGAACTAGAACTGACATGGTTGAAGGAAGATTTCAATTCTTCAAAGCCAGTAAATGGTGTTCTCAGTAGAACGCTGCCTTGGAGGGGATTCTTGGCAAAACTAACTTCAGAAGAAATGCTCTGCTGACGGAATGTGACTTTAGCATTTGCTTTAAGGCCTGAGGAAGAAAGGGTATATGATACGTCAGCACTGGACTCTCTGAAGCCTTCGAAGGGAGTTTTGATGATAAGTTTTCCTACTACGGAGTCTGTTCCTATTATTGACATCTGTCCCTCAATCTTTTGTCCATTATTGTAATCAATAGTAAATTCTCCAGTTAAATCATCAGTGAATGTATATTTAGCGGAAACAGATTGCTGTTCGTATCCTTTGAATGGAGTTTTCAAAGAAACTTTCCCACTTACTCCATCAACGAAGGCAACTTCAGTTGCTGCAGCAATAACTTTGTCTTCTGAATGCAATTTTATACTGCTTGTAATTTGATAGTCATTGTAATCGTGAGTGAAAACAGCGCCAATATTTCCACAGAATGGGCTTGATATAGACACGGATCCTTCTTTAATACCATCGTTGGAGTAAGTGGCATCTATTTGGGTATTGTATCCATCAACATTAAGTTCAGCATGGGATTTCATTGACCTTAGTGACTGCTCATGATTGAAGGCTCCATTTAATTGTCCAAGCACGCTTCTGATATTGAATGATCCAGATATCGGGCTGGAACTGTAGGACATATCTCCAGAAAGTTTTTCGTTCCCAGATACACTGACTGATCCTGAAGTTTTGAAGTTATCTAGATCCCCTTCATGACGGAAATTAGCCTTAATGTCATTAATTTCACTTATGGGAGTTTTCAATGATAACTGTCCGATAATAGATGATGAGGCATCGAGTGATGCGTCAAATTCGATTTGCTTTCTTCCACTGTATGAAATTTCTGCAAGAGTTTGGAAGTTTGTTAAGGGACCATTGTGCTTGAGTGATGCCATGATATCCTCAGAAATTGGCGTTCTCAGTGTTGCGTAACCATTGATTCCACTGCGTCGGTCAAGCCCAACATTTCCGGTTATTTCTTTTCCATTGAAACTTGCTGAAGATTTGATGTTGAAATTTTCAGATGCACCAGTTTGTGAAATAGAAAGCTGGATGTTCTTGACGACTGGACATTTTGATGTCAGGGAAGCTTGGATGGAAAGTGAAGGAATTGTATCAAAGGACACTTTTCCTTGGATTTTCTTTTCTCCTCCATAGGTCAACTCAGTTCCGCACTTAAATTTCTGGATGGATCCCGCATGAGTTAGTTTAAAGATGACATCATTTGTAGACGGTCTTTTAACAAATCCGATAATTTTAACTCTCTTGTCCATTTCAACGTTCAACTCAATTTCAGATTTTTTGCCTTCAAGTGAATATTCAGCATGACTGTTGAAATTAAGTAGACCACCATTGTGTCGGAAGAGGAAATCACTTTCCCTATAATCAGCAAATGGTGTGCGTATGGACAGTGTTCCCTCAAGGGAGTTAATGCTTGAAAATGCTAAATCACCTTCAACAGTCTCACCATTGGCAGATGCCTCAGCATGACATTTGAAGTTGTTCAGACTTCCAACATGTGAAAATGAAGCAGCTACAGTTTTAACTTTTCCATATGTTGTTGTAATTGAGGTTCTAGCAGATATATCATTTGTGGAGTCGAATTCTGTACTAGATTTTATGTTTTCTTTTCCATAAGAGATTTCCAAGTTGGTGTTAAATCTTTTTTGTGTTCCTGAGTGAGATACGCTGGCTCTCAGTGGTTTAATGTAGATAGAATTCACAAACAAAGATCCTTGGAGGGGAGATGATTTCAACGACAATTTTCCGTCTAACAGACTTCTTCTTCCATATTTGATTGCAGCTGTAGTCAAAATGGGAGAGCTTTCATGTGCGAAGGTGCCGTCAATCGTTTCAAAGTATGGTGACTTGGCAAGAACTTTCCCTTCTAGTTTCACTAGGGAACTGAAATTGACATCAATTTCAGATTTGTCATTATTAAGTTCAAATTCGGCATGACTGCGGAAATTGTTATATGTTCCGTCGTGTGATAAGCTTGCCTTTACTAGTTGTGCCGATTTAAAGGGACTTGTGAATTTAAGATAACCAGATATTTGATCAAGAAGGCTCATTCCGATTTCTCCCGTCAATTTCTTATTGGTTCCATCAGATCCTTCGGCATGAATTTGGAAATTCTTCCAGTTGCCTTTATGGGTAAATGTTCCTTGCATCATTTCATAGTCTTTAAAGGGTGTTTGGAGTGAGACCTCTACTGAAATATCTGATCGAGAGTCCACTTTGAGACTAGACAAAATGCGTTTTTTATTCGGGAATAAGATATTGACCTGGTTGTTGAAGTTTCTCAGAGATCCATCATGTGTCACAGAAAATTCGCTTTTTTCAAAGTTTCTGAATGGGGTTTGGAGCGCAATAGAGGTAGCGATCTTGGGATCTATAGCAAACATAATATCTGCATTGTAGAGTTTGTTCTTTCCCACAGTAATCTCCCCATGAGACTGGAAGTTCTTTAGTGAACCTTGATGAGAGAGGATGACACCAGCCTTTTTGTATCCTTTAAAGGGTGTCTCCACCGAAAGGTCAGCCTTGAAGTTTGGCCTGAGAGACATTTTGATATCTGCAGCAATGGACTCTTTTCCAATTGAACCTCGAGCACTTGTTTTGAAACTCTTCTTGTTTCCACTAAAGTTCCAAATTCCTTTTACTTTCTTGTATCCTGGTATAGGAGTGATGATGTTTACAATAACAGCAGATGCTGATCCTCGTTTCAAGGTGATATCAGTCGTATATTTCTTTCCTTTTCCGATAAGTGCATTGGTAATTATTCTCATGTTTGCTGGTTTACCTTTCTTGGTCATAGTTATCTTAATGGGATCCGTAAAAGGGTTCTCAAGTTGGATCGTTGCTTTTGCTCTCTTTTTCATTTGAGCGTTAATGTTCAATTTATACTGTAGTTTTTTGTCCATCTTTATGTTCCCAGTGGTCTGAAATTTGGAAAGATCACCAGAGTGTTTGAATGATGCTGAAATATCCCTGTGGAATGGTGTTTTCAATGTCACTGAGCCAGTTATTCTCTTTCCAGTTGAAAATACCACAGACCCTTCGATTAAAGCCTTTCCTCCCTTTATGAAAGACGTACTAGTTTCGAAATTGCTTAGACTGCCTTCATGGGAAAATTCGGCTTTCATGTTGTCGAAAAAGGTAGCTTTAAGCTCTAACGACCCAAGAATCTTCTTTGCATTCTTAAACGCTGATATGACTGAACCCTTATGTTTTCCATATTTACCATCAAAAGTGATTTTCATTGGGCCTTCGTGTAAAAAGGATGCTGCAAAATCTTCTGTGACTGGAGAGGAAAATGAAACTGATCCTGTTGAGGATTTAGCCAGTGAAAGCTGCATTTTTGCTTCATACTTCTTTGATTTTCCATACTGGAATTCAGCAGTAGACGCAAAGTCATTTAACTCTCCTTTGTGGCTAAATGAAGCACTCATATCTTTTAAGAGTGGAGATTTGAAGCTTAGCATTCCAGATAGTTGATGGTATTTGGCATCCAATTCGTACTTTTTCCCTCTGCCATACAAGGCGTCAATGTGTGTATCAAAGTCAGAAATGCTTCCCCTATGTTTAAAAGAAGCAGACATGTCTTCATGAAGGGGAGATTTAATGATTACATTTCCAGCTGAATTGCCAAAGTTTCCAGTTATTTCATATTTTTTGGATTTCCCGTACTGCATTTCTGCGTGGGAGGAAAATTGAGATAGAGATCCCTCGTGATTAAAGGCAGCGATGAAATCATTAGCAAAAGGAGACCTAAGTACTAAGGTTCCCTCAACCTTTTTGTTATTTGAATAGGTTATATCACCCTGGATCTTCTTCCCTCGAGTATACTCAATCTCTCCATGGCATTGAAATTGGCGACTATTTCCACTATGGCGAATTAAAGCTGCTGAATAGGGGAGTTCTTGGAATGGTGTTGTTAAGGCAATGCTGCCCTCTAAGTTTTCAAGACTTGGTAGCAAAGTAGACTCCAACTTGATTGTCTTGCCTGGTAAATATTCAACACTCAATTCTGTTGTTTTCTTTTCCCTCTGATCATTATGTGTAAAAGAAATACGGCTTTGTTTGTAAGGTTCAAATGGAGTGTTGACCTGAATGCTGGCAATTATTCCACCATATGAACTCCACTGGGATGTAACAGACATTGGCCCAAAGAGTGGACTGATCATCAGGTTAGCGCTGGTATGGAAGGATTTGGAATTGCCAGAAAACTCGGCGCCAATGGTCATTTTGCGAAGATTTTCATATGGGGTGTTCAGAATTGTATTCAGACTCTTCTTATTGCCCCATTGTCCACGGTTTTCCATCGTGATTGTGTCTCCAGTAGGAAGGACAACGGATGATCTGGTAACAGTTTCACCTCGCTCGTTGGATTGATCCATTGTAATCTTCAGTGTTTTCGATTCATCATAATGACTCATCTTTGCTTCGAACTTTCCACTCATTAATCCAACTGGGGAAATGCTAAATGTACCATCAATCAAAGCCATTGATTTCTTGTTGGACAGATACTCAATTTTACCAGATAAGGATAACCTTGATATTGTGAGGACACAGTCAGGGTCTT